CCCCAGGCCTGGACACAGTACTCCAGATGGGGCCTCACAAGAGCTGAGTAGAGGGGCACAATCACCTCACTCTCCCTGCTGGCCACCCCTTTTTAATGCAGCCCAGGACATAGTTGGCCTTCCAGGCTGCAAGCACACACTGCTGGCTCATGTCCAGCTTCTTGTCCACCAGGATCCCCGAGTCCTTCTCCACAGGGCTGCTCTCAAGGAGTTCTTCTCTCATTTTATATGAGTACCTGGGATTTCCCTGGCCTAAGTGCAAAACCTTGCACTTGGCCTTGTTGAACCTCATTAGGTTCTCATGGGCCCACTCCTCCAGCCTGTCCAGGTCCCTCTGGATGGCATCTCTTCCCTCTGTTGTATCAACTGCACCACTCAGCTTGGTGTCGTCTGCAAATTTGCTGAGGTTGCACTCAATTCCCTCATCTTTGTCATCGATAAAGATGTGGAAGAGCACCGGTCCCAAGACAGACCCTGGAGGGACACCACTTGTGACATATTTACCTTATTTACCTCACCTCTTCGTTTCAACTGAGGTGTGCTTCAATCTCAGCTAAACTGACACAAGCCATTCTTCAGCTGAACAATGTCCGTACAATTGCACCTAGCTGACATCTCCACCTGACGGAATCATCTCACGTAGCCTTCAGGTTCTAAGGTGAAACAGCAGGGCTGGAAAGCTGTGTTTTCTGCCCGTTAAATGATGTGCGATCCCTGAAATCCTTAACCTTTTTCCCTTCTGAACGTGCATAAATCTTTCTCCCCCCCTCCCTCCTCCAGGTCATTTTTCTGCTGATTCAAAGACTGTTTCGGTTAGTGACAGTAAAGTGAGAAGTAAAAGCAGCCCTTTCCCCCTTTGGTTTTGGGGAGAGAGCTCTAAAGAAAGCAAAAGGCTAGGCTGCAGTCTAGCACCATCAGTCCATCATTCCTGTCCTGCAGTGCATTCAGGAGCTATAGGTCTCCATCTGAGATAACTGGTATTGATTTCTTTATTGTGTTGCTTCCTTTCTTTATAGTGCAGATGTGGCCTCAATAGCCCTATATCAAATTAAGGATACACTTAAAAAGAATATATGGTTTAGCCGAGGAGAACCCTTTCTCAAACGATTTAATTTTCAGCCCACTCTCTGGAGACATTATCATCTGATACATGTCAGTCCTTCCTTAGCTCAATGGCTGATTTTCAGTCAGTGCTGTTAAAGGGGTGCAAAATAAAGTCAAAATGGGCTTGTAAGGTCTCTCCTGCCTATTCCCTGCTTGCAGCTGTCCTGAGGAAAGATCAGCTGGTGTGAGCTGCTCAGTCTCTGATGGACCTGTGCAGCTCAGAAGGTGACTGAGGATGGGGTGGCATCCCAGGAGCCTGGCCAGGGACCATGGCTGCACCAGGGCAGGAGCAGGGGCAGTGGTAGCAGTAGCGAGGCTGGGGGCAGCTCTTCCTGTTCTCTCCTTTTGAGCAACCTCCATCACAAGTCCTGAGTTTGTTAGGAAGAAAGATGTGTTTTTCAGTGGCATTGTTATCTTAGTGTGCAGCACTGGTGGACAAGAGATAAGGTACAGTTTACCTCAGCTGCCCTCAGTTGAGCAATTCCTTTGGGTTGACTCCAAACCTGTACATGTTAAGTAAAACAAAAGTGTGGCTTGTCTGCATGAAGGTTATACTGCATGCTAGCTGAGATTGTAAAGCACCTTTCCCTGGCAAAGCTCTAAGTGTGCTCAGAGAGGTGGTCATCCACCTCTTCACCACCTACAACTGTCTTTTCCTTGTGGCTCCAGCTCTTTCAGATGAAGGGTCCACCTTGCCGCCGCCTCGGTATTTCAAGTACAGAATTTCCTCACTCTGTTTCTCTGTCTCCTTCAGCCTACCAGTGCTGCGTTTGGTCTCTAAGGGCCATGAGCTGTTGGCATCACTTTTGTGTACATATACCACATGGCCCCAAGGCAGAAAGTCCTGCCTGTGGGCTCTGTGAAATATCCCAGACCCCTACCCCATAATTAATAATAGTAATAATAGTAATAAGAGTAAGTTAATGTTTATAAATGAGATGTGACTGTATATATTATATGTGGATAACTAATGCAGATGTCTGCACTTTTGTTGCCTGAGCTGGGATTTTACAAAGTGACAAGCCATTGGAAATTTGTCTCTAAACAGGAAAGGAGAGACTACTTGTTATGTAATAAATTTTCAGAATTATTTGGTTTTAGGGGAAGGGGATTGAGGAGAGACAAGGAGGGTTCTTGACTCTGTGTTCACCTGCAGTCCAGGTTGCCCTGCTCTGACCGTGCCACCTGCCCATGCACTAGCCCCAAAGCTGCAGCACTGGGAAAAATAGTTAGCTACTGGTTTGAGCTAGGAACAGCTGCTAATCTGCATTTCTCTTTCTTCTTCCAGATTGAATCCCGTAAGCGTCTGGCCAGGACGGTACTGGTCTTTGTGTGCCTCTTTGCCTTGTGCTGGCTTCCCACTCACATAATCTATTTATATCGGTCCTACCACTACTCAGAAGTGGACACCTCAGTGCTGCATTTCATTGCCAGCATCTGCGCTCGGATCCTGGCATTCACTAACTCTTGTGTCAACCCGTTTGCTCTCTACTTGCTCAGCAAGAGCTTTCGGAAACAGTTCAACAACCAGCTGCTGTGCTGCAGAGCTCGTCTCCTGATACGGTCCCAGAGCATGGCCAGGAGCACCACACGAATGACCTCCCTCAAGAGCACCAACCATTCACTGGCCACCTTCAGCCTTATCAATGGCAACCACATCTGCCATGAAGGCTATGTCTAAAGGGCACAGTCATGGACCTCCACATCACATACTTAACACAGCTGCTTGGTTTTGCTCCATGAGGACGGTGAGTAGCGCACACACACAAGCACACAAGCATGCACATGTGCATGTGGGGAGGTCTGATGTGCTCAGAGAACTCAGAGGAGCTTGAAGCATCCAACCTTTCATCCTGGACTGAGGCTGAAGCATCCAACATTTCATCCTGGACTGAGCAGCAGATCATGGAGCACCAGCCCACAGGAGCTCCCTGGGAAGCACTGCGTTGCTTCAAGGCCCGCTGCTTTTAATGAGAGCAAAGTGAGCATCTTAAGATCAAATCTAGTTTGGTTCTGCAGGTTATTCATCACTTTCTGCTCAATCCCAAACTCGGGCAGACTTAAATCAGTAACAAAGACCATACCAGGTGCACAAAATTTGTCAGAACAGTTGCATCCGGCAGTTCATGGTATAATATATTTTGGCACCAAAATAAATCCATTTCAATTAGGAAAATACTTTTACAAAGATGTTCAGTGTAGGTCATTTACAGACTATTCAAGTATTTATTAATGTTCTGAGTACAGTATTAATTCGTGGTACAAAAGATATCGAAAGCTTGCTGGGGCATGATGGTGGCCCCATCTGAAATGAGCAGTGTCTTGCACCACATCAATGTGAAAGCAGTAATGTGAATAAATGTGAGTTGGAATAAGTTTACAGTTTTCAAATTTGTGAGCTTTTGCCATGTTGTGGACACAGCAGGGCATTTTCCAAACATTATTGTTTTGCTCTTCTTGTCTTCAAGGTGTGAGGTAGTGAATGTTTCGTCACCTAAGGGGTACAACAAAATTTTAGTTAGGTTTGTCTAAGGGCAGGTTATTAACAGAAAATGAAGCACAGCTATGTTTCATGCAGTAGTGCTTTGTAAAACAGCTTTTTTTTCAGTAAAAGCTGTCAGCAACGCAAGGTCTGATCTCCAGCCCACAGAATTTTTTCCTTCTGTCTTCGCAGAAACCTGTGGAAACAGACTGTCAAAACTGGATAACAGACTGGAGAATCAGGTCTTCTGTAATGTTCACTCCAGAGGAGTTTCTGTGCCAGGTGCCAGGTACCTGGTCCTCCAGATAGCAAACTCTTGAAGTGCGTGGGCTGTAGGACAGGCAATGAAGCCGCACACTGATAAAGAAAGCTGCTGGAAAATGAGGCCATAAACCAAGCACTGTAGCAGAATATTGAGTTTTTAATGGCTCTCATCCTCTTTGATGATGATCCTTTTCCCTTCCACAGGAAAAGACAAATGAAAGCTAGTAAAACTTTGTGTTGGGCTTGCTCTGTGAATGTAGAAAAAGTCATGTGTGCAGTGTAAAAACACTTGGCCCTGCACCTGCAGCTTCCCCAGGATGCTGGTGGGAGCTGCTGTCTCCAGGCACTGCAAAAGGGCTGCGATGCCAAAGGCAGAGCTCTGAAAACTTGAACTGGTTTTGCCTTTGAGAGCGATGCCCTGTGAGGGAGGTTCAACACGCAGGTACATGAGCTCAGGATGTGGCCACACCGCCATGCTGATGTGCTGCTAAGGGCCCTCTCTTCCCACCATCCCTGGGCACCACCTGTGTCACCCCCTCCTGCAGGCGTGAGTGCCCCCATACCCCTAGCAGCCTGAAAAGTAATGTGATGGGGTTATTTTTCAACTGAGTCTATTCCCTTGTTTGTCTGACTGCGTAACTGTGGTGTTAGTTTCAATTTACTGGGCTATTTGAGATCCTCATTTACAAAAATTTTCATCAGGATCACACTCTCCCTGATCTTTAACATGAAGCCACATACACCAGAATCCCAGCCTGCAACCATTTCAAAGAGTTTGGTTGAGTTTCAAGCTGTTTATGACATTTCAAAATGAGAAAAATTTATCTGTCCTGAGATGTTTGTACTAAATATTTTCTTCAGCCTTGTAAGAACTTAATCGAAGGCAAGCAGGTATTTCATACATCAACAGCAACCACACCATCTTTGCTAGGTGATGTGTCCTCCTGTTTTGTGATGAACAATGGATTACTCCTACTCTACAAGAGGCTCCAATAGTTTCTGAACTTTTGTTTCTGAGGGAAAGGGGAAAACACAGCTCTGATGTGAGAAAATCATAAATATCGGGAAAAGAGCATTGCTATAGCCACCTCAGGGTTAAGCTGAATACAGACCCTGCTTCCCTGAGAAAGGTGCTGTTTTGAACATGGGAGGGTTATGAAGATATGGCACCATGGAATAAAGTAAGTGCTATTGATTTTAACCTTTTCTTCCTAATAGAGCTAGCAACTCATCTGAGGACAGGAAAGATGGTTTTGGCTCTGATCTGGAAAGTGCTTTCCAGAAATGCAGCTGCAGGTGTCCACCTGTGTCACAGCCTCACCATTGCTTAATTTGCTCAGTATTCCTTTCCTCTTTATTTTCAGAGCTGACAGGCAAAAATTTAGGGGGTGTTCCATGCAAAATGTAATAATTTCATCAGAATCTAAGACGCCTACAACTCATTTTAAATTTTGGCAACTTAGACCAAGCCTTTTTAGATAAGATGTAAATTTTCATTAATATTCTCCATTTCAGTCAAATCCCTCACCTCCCCCC